CACACACACACACACACACACACACACACACACACACACACACACACGGATGGACAAGCACGTGCACAAGGACAAAAAGCCCAGAAGGGAATCGAGGAGAGAGGCGACTTCTTGAGCAGCATTCCTCTGAAATTCATCGGCTCAAAGTGGCGGAATCAGCAGGAGGAGAGTCTCTCGAGCCTCAGCGGATTCATGGAGGCAAAATATGAGGATGGAAGTTCTCCGTGTAGCAACTCTGTAACCACCGTGGCTGGAATACTTTTGCTCCGTGTGCACATATGTGCAAATTAGAGTAGATTATAAGGGAACTTCTGACAATCCCTGTGGGGGGGAAATGGGCTGATACACCAGAGGATGGGATGTAGCTAAGAATAGGACGAAGTACTGGAGATAAAGAAGGAAGTCGTTTACTATGGAGCGAATACGGCAAACAGAGCTTCACCTTCTCCAGTGAACCATTGGCTGGTGACAGAAAATATAGTTGACAGACACAGACAGTGTTTCTTAAGTGGGTTCCGTTTATGTCAACTGTGTTTGGTATCGTACTCAGCCACGTGTAGCACGTAGAATGCCATTTAATACTTTCATCCACGATCATACATACACAAAGTATGATGGAAAACCATTGTGGACAACACAACATTTATTTGTATTTTGACTTGGTCCAACGTTTTCAAACTGGAAAGTGACTTGCAGCCAACACACAAATGTCAGATGTCCTCTGCTGCTGCCAGCTGCTTGGCGTCCACGGTGGTTCTGTTAAATGCTCTGTAGAACTCAACAAATTAGCGCTGGAGTTAACTAAAGCGAGTGCTGCTCCGCTCCATGACCAAACTGCGAGTGTGAAGTACAGCGTGACGAGCTGAAGCTGTGTTTAGCTGCTCCTCCAGCTTTGCTCCCTCTGCGTCTGTTGACTCCCGGAGAACCAGACCAGGAGCAGCGGATCCAGCTCGGTCCAAAAAAAGTGGCCACGCCGCTCAGAGTTTCCACTGCGCAGCATTCTCTGGATCAACGTGGAAGCGAGGCCTTCACTGTTCTACAGTGGGACTTTGGAGAATTCTGTGGACAAGATGGTATGGCTTTATGTCTCTGCACGTCCACACTTGGCCTGGAACAATGAGGTTTTGGAGATACTGTGACCCAATTTACTGTTCTGGGTTGATAAAAACAAACAAAATAAAGTATTGTACTCGACACCTTAAAAACTAAGTAGTATCGAAACGTCTCCAGTCAGACAACAAACCGAGTTTGATCCTTTTTATACCCGGACCTAGAAAAGAACCGACTATTGTGCTCGCAGCCAATCGGCGCAAGCGCTCTTCGACTGAATGCGGCGCGTGATTGGCCGATAGAAATGAGTGCGGCGGCAGCGGCGGCGGTGTTGGTGGTGGTGATGGCATGTTACGCCACTGAAAGCTCCCATTCACAAAACAAAAAAACAAAGGTATGAAATGAGGTACTCAGGGAATCCTCCTGATCTGAATCACTTCACGCTGAGCACACTTCCATGTTGATCAAAAGTCGACTATTAGTCCCACGAGCGCGCTCTGTATAGATCCTCCGCTGCGCCACAAACCACGTCTCTATAACCGATATAGCATCTGGCGGAGAATGGCGCGTTAATTACAGGGGTTTTAGCGCGCTGGAGCTAGAGACGACACAAACACACACACACACACACACACACACACACACGACAACACATAAACACATGTCTGATGATGATATTCTCCTTTGTACTAGATGCGTGCAGCTAGAGTATGTTTTCCTCATTCTGTATGTTATATATAGGATGAATAAGGCCTGGGTGTGCACACACGCGCACACACACACACAAACACACACTCACGTGACCCTCTCGCTCCCTCAGCCTCCATGTAACCTCCAAACGGTGCTCTATCACCTCCGTGCAGTCCATTCCCCCTGCTTCGGATCCAAACTCCAGTTCAACTTCCATTCCTGGAATTCCACAACTGGCGCTCTGTGGCCGACCTCCATCCTGGACTACGCCCCCCCTCCTCCCCCCATCGCTCCATCCACAGCCAGCTCACAAAGCCTCCCTCTGTAGACGCTGCGAGTCACACTGCTGACCTACAGGTTTTTGTATCAAGAAGTTTTACCGAATGTAGTCACAGTTGTACTCAGGAGGACGTGCTCACCGACGCTGTGAAACTACAGTTCAAATATGTTCATTGTCAAAATATGTCCGACGCTATTAAAACTCACCTCAAAAACAAGTCTCCTTTGACACCCGGGACACACTGTGTTTAGAGCAAGAAGAAGTCTGAATAAGTCAAGGTTGGTCGTCGGCATCTATGTGGTGGTGAAAATCTAAAGCAGATGTTTGTGTGATATATGTACATGGCTTGAACATAAATAACAAAAATTAATTATAAATTGCACTGTATGTACGTTGCACATTGTCGTTTAAGCACTAGATTTAGACTAAATGTTCTTCCTGTTCCATCTTACAGATTTACATCTCATCCATGAGTAGAAACCACATATTTGGCCATTTCTGTCTGTTTGAACTTTTAATGGATTTTTGGATGTTTTTACGGATTTACACATATCTTCATATGTTAAGTGGACACTAAGGCCATGCACTGTATTAAAGTTTAAAAGTATTGAATTAATTTAAATGAAATCGGAGAGCAGCAGATATAAAAATACTTACACCAATAAACTTCTGTAATGTCAAACGTTTAACTGTTAGAAAATCATTTTTTTATGCCACATGGGGTTTTTAGGTTGAATTTTTTGCAGAGTAACTTGTTGAAAACTACACACTCACTATTTTTGGTACGTTGACTCCTTACATCTTTCTGTATATGGCCCGAAAACAAAAAAAATGGCCCTCCCCCACCACCCCAGTTTAATGTGTTCAATGACGTTCACATTGACGGTGATTGGAACAGCAAACCCCGCCTTCCACAGAGGAGGATGTTTTGCTTCTTTCAAAATGTGGAATCAATCAGAATGAAGGACCAAACCAGAATATACCACTCCACCCACTAGTGGTTTTTGTGTATGTCTACTGTATGTACAGTATGGTTACGTGTGTGTATGTGTGTGTGTGTGTGTGTGTAGTCTGATGGGTGTAGTTCCCAAAGGATAAATATACATATTTTCATTTTTTTCCACTTATTGTCACCAAATTCCATGAAAAGAGGCGTACGCCGTCCTGCTGCTGAAAATACTCCCCGGAGCACCAAATGTGTATTAATCCGCAGCTGAAAATAGTCCCCAACCATTGCACCACTTCCTCCTGTTTGGGTAACGTCTGCTAAAAAGCTACAGTGTAGCCACCTGTTTTAAGAAATGATTTAACCTTTAAAAAGTGAGACTATATATATATATCTCTGTGAGACGTTTTGAAAGATTAGGTCATTCATCATTTGCGTTTTCCCCTCATACAATATGCAGATGATACACTATTTATAGGGACAAGGTTCACTGTGGAGATGGAGTGAAAATGATCAGCGAGTGTGTTACGTTGAAAGGGAGGAGGGGATAGGCTGACACACACGGCCTCTTTGTCTCCGCCGTGAGATGTGTAGCAGACTGTTACGGCTGGAGGCCCCGCAGGACGAAAGTAACGTCCCTTCCAAATAGCTGCACACGCACACGCGAGTCCTCACTCTATGCTAAAAACTGTTTATGAATGACTCTGTATTGACCTTCGTGCATACACAGGGAAAATATCTGACTGCTTCAACTTGCATACTCAGTTCTCGTGGAACACACACACACACGCACGTATTTACTAAACGGGGTATTTCCTCCCCTGGGCGGCTCAATCTTTACACAATGCCTCATTTCTTCTTTCTTTCTCCTCATTCTCTCTCCATCTCTCTCGCTCAGGCTTTCTAGGACTTCAGCAATTTGCCAAGTCTACCCGCATTAATGTTAATTAACATACGATTGACTCAATCAGACCATTCGAGCAACATCTCAACTAGTCGTTTAAAATCAACGAGTGGACCCAAAGCTGCAGTTTCTTCAGCACCAGAGGCCTCGACAACAGAGTGACTCGCCACTCAAAATGACACCTTCCTCCTGTTTACTAGCCCACCTCCACCGTGGGGTATTAGGGGGATTTTGTAGTGACGTACATGCGCCCCCGCACTGCTTTTAAAAACAACAAGCTCTGGTTCAGGCGGTGGGAGCCACAGTAGAGAGAAAAAAAACCATCAGCAGGGGGTTCTGCATGTTAACATGATGAGCTCATAGCATCGGCGGTCGGTCAGTGAGCGCAATGTGATGGGTCAATCTCAGACAAACCTACGTGAGTGTAAATAGCTTTGTGTTACATTCTGATGGCTGCAGAAAAACATCACGATCCATGAACCTGCATGACTTGGCAATGTGTGTCTAAAAGTCTGTTTCAATCATCTCTGATATGATGCAACTAGTTTGGGTTTACTGGAGAATTTACAGTTCTCCAGGTTTGTTTTTTCATTCTACGCGACTAAGCTTAGCTGCATCTTTGAATCTTTTCAATTACTGGAAAAGGAATCGATCTTAAATAGAAGATATTGAACATGTGATTTCTGTGGTGCAGAAGTATTTTGGTCAGTAGGAAGATGAAGAGAAACTGCTTAACTCTGCATCCTTGGGAACTAAATCGGCGGTCTTGCGCAATGCCGTAAAATGAAAGGATTGCCGCTATTCTCAGTCAGATTTACAACGAACTCACAGGCCTCATGTTACAGTATACGGGGAAACCCAAACCAGCATGAGGCTGACATTTAAACTGGCACACAGTACTGACAACTGAGCACTAACCTGCTAAACTAACAGTCAACACCACTCCAGGAAGAAAAGTAAACTGGTGACGCCGAGCTGAATTCTAGAACCCTTTGTATCTTTAATGGCGTGTTTTATGGTGGTTGAGTGGAAAAGCCCTTTAGACAGAGCTAAATTCAAAGCTGTCGAGCAGGACGGATAAGACTAAAAACACAGCACGTGTGCTAAGTGGGCTGCAGAATACCCACCAAGGGCCGATCTTTCTCCCGAGTCTCTACGGGAGTTTTGTTTTGCTGTCCGGCTGAGCTTAACTTTGACTCTGTAATCAACTGGAGCTGGGTCAGTCCCATCATACAGTGCGTGGCAGAGCCCTGCGGTCAGACTGCTGTTTACATTAGAGCTCTAATCAGCCTCCCTGGAGAGCGGCTTCAGATCTAGGCCACTGAGCGGTTTGGGCCGGCCCAGTGCAGGGAGGGACGGCCCGACACACCACCACAACTCTCTGTTGGAGAGCGGAGGACGGCATGTTGGTGATGTCGGCATGATTTTTTTCAAAATTTGGACATCGTCTTTGGTTGCAGGATCCCCGGAGTTTTCTTCTCATTCAGGACTATTTTGTACCAAGTTTCGTCTGTTATTAAGTAGCTGATGCAAAACAAGCAGTGCACTGGTTCAGCAGTAGAAATGTCTCCTATAGGTAGGCTGGCAGTAATCGCAGCAGAAGTTGCTTTACATTCAGGTACTCTTGGCTTCTCCCGTCCTCGCTCCGTTCTCCAGCCTGTCTCCATCTCTGAGGAGGTCCCAACCCCTTCAAAAGCATCTCAGAGGAGACGAGGGCTGTGCTAAAAATCACATAGTAACATACTATTCACACTAAGTGTGTAAAGTTGAGTATGTAGCCAGTTCCAACTGCGTAGTATCCGAATTTTGCGTACGCGTTACCCAGATCCGGCTTCACTGCCCCCTTCGACCTGCAGAGCTCACACTGCTGGAGACCCAGACCGTATCGCTGGGCCCGCTGGAGGGAAGGGAGGCACGGGAGAACCAGAACCAGGACTGTGCGTAGCAGACTGTCAGAAGCCTGCTGCAGTAAAATTAGGTTTTTTTAAAGGGAGTCTAGTCCTCAGAAACACTAACCACTTTCGTTCATAGGGACTGCCAAAATCAACACACAATGAAAGTTCCTTGAGGTAGCTTTAAGCTACAGTAATAGACTTTCTATAAGAAGTGGATGTAGTCATCGTGAAGGCACCCATTGGTTTGAGGACTGCCGTTTTGAAGCCTCCAGTTTGGCGTTTTTGGCATCGGCATGTTTTTTTTTGTAACTGATAAACGGAAGTGACCATATTTAGAATAAGGAGGAATGACGTAGAGATGCCGTATACGGCTCTGATAGCGGCAGCAACCTGTCAATCACAGTAAGCCCCGCCCTAAAGCACACCCTGCTTAATGGTCTATTTTACTTTAAATGGACCATCATTTACTAAATGAACATCATGCTGTATTGAAGAAGACTTGAAACTAGAGATTGAGATCATAAACTCATGTTTACAATGTTTACTGAGGAAATAAATCAAGTGAGAAGTAGAGTCATTTTCTCATAGACTTCCATACAATCAGACTTCTTTTAGCAACCAGAGGAGTCGCCCCCTGCTGGTCAGTAGAGATAATACATGTTTTAAGACACTTCCTCATTGGCTTCACTCGGCAGAACCAGAGGTTGCCGCCTGGTACAGTTAAGAGGAAAAACGTGGTAGCTCACGTGTATTATGTAATGTAGAAAACACATTGAATAAACAATCCCCCATGAACAATGTTCATTGAACGGTAGCTCGGACCGGCAGCGCCCCGATCGATACATGTCATGTGATGACGGTGCTTGAGTTTACTTCAGCGTGAACAGTCGGCTGGTAAATGGCATAATCGTTCATTTAGTACGCAGTATAATGCTAGTACGTGGTATGTTACTATGTGAATTCGAACAGAAATCAGTTAAGTGATTGGTTATCTGATCTGACGGGACAGTAAACTAAATGAACATAACCACAGGATTGTAATACTGTGGGTTTTTGGTACTGTGTTTTCTTCTTCGCCTCTTATATTCTGATTGGCTCATTCAAAAGATTTGATTTTGAGCATTGTTTTTATCTCACATCTGCTCTGTCAGTAAACACATTTGAATCGTGCGTCGGTGTTACTTCCACTAGCACTAATAGATCGATAATCAACACTGGAGCAGCTGTGCATCTCTTAAATAAAAGGATGCTAGAGCGAGCGAGGACGTCCCGTTTGGTAAATACAATCCCTCCGCCCTCACACCCCCACACGTTTCATCACTCAGACAATCATTAACCGCTTTCAACAACACATTTATAGAACGACGCATACTCAAACCCACCTTGTCGGCGGTGAGCTCTCGAATCTTGACGATCTGCACTCTGAACTTCATGAGCAGCGCCTCCAGGACCACGCACTTCTCCTTCCAGTCCTCCTGGCTCATGGCCTCCTCGCCCTCCGCCATGCCGGGCCCGACCCTGTGGAAGACCAATGCGCAGCAGTGAGAGACAACACCTGCGATCAGCTGGGTGCCTCCTGTGGGAAATATGTTCTTTTTACAATCCATATCTTTAAGGCCATTTTCTCTAACTGAGTTTTTTCTCCACTTCAGCAGCTCTCACATCACCAAACTTTACAGTTTCATTCCTCTCTATATTCTGAAGGTTTTCACAGAGGGGTTTGTTCATATAACATTCATAACCTGATTCATACAACATTTCATTCCTAAAACATGTCAAAAGCTTTTTTTGATTTATGGAGTGACACAAAGAGATATCCAAAATTTTGTGTCCAACTCTGTCGTTGGAAAACAGGCGTTACGTAAACAGAGAGAGCGATGAGATGAGAGGAGAGGAGATGAGATGAGATGAGAGGAGAGGAGAGGAGATGAGAGGAGAGGAGATGAGATGAGATGAGAGGAGATGAGATGAGAGGGGAGGAGATGAGAGGAGATGAGATGAGAGGAGATGAGAGGAGATGAGATGAGATGAGAGGAGATGAGAGGAGAGGAGATGAGAGGAGATGAGAGAGATGAGATGAGAGGAGATGAGATGAGATGAGAGGAGATGAGAGGAGATGAGATGAGAGGAGATGAGATGAGATGAGAGGAGATGAAAGTAGAGGAGATGAGATGAGAGGAGATGGTAGGAGAGGAGATGAGATGAGAGGAGATGAGAGGAGATGAGATGAGAGGAGATGAAAGTAGAGGAGATGAGATGAGAGGAGATGAAAGTAGAGGAGATGAGATGAGAGGAGATGAAAGTAGAGGAGATGAGAGGAGATGAGAGGAGATGAGATGAGATGAGAGGAGATGAGAGGAGATGAGAAGAGATGAGAGGAGATGAGAGGAGATGAGAGGAGATGAGATGAGATGAGATGAGAGGAGAGGAGCGGAGATGAGAGGAGATGAGATGAAAGTAGAGGAGATGAGAGGAGATGAGATGAAAGTAGAGGAGATGAGATGAGAGGAGATGAAAGTAGAGGAGATGAGATGAGAAGAGATGAGATGAGAGGAGATGGTAGGAGAGGAGATGAGATGAGAGGAGATGAGATGAGAGGAGATGGTAGGAGAGGAGAGGAGAGGAGATGAGATTAGAGGGACAGATGAGGATCTCTGGTGGAGGAGGAGGAAGATAGAAAAGTCAGCATTTTCTCCTCCTCCAAGTAATAACCTCTCATTACCGGCCTGGCCTGCTCACAAAGAGACTGCAAACATGTGTGGAGGGAGGTCGTTAAAAAAACAATCTGTTGCCTGTTTTGCTGCGGTGAACACTGACGAAGGCAAGGGGGGGGGGGTCTCATCCCACAAAACAAAACAACACAACACGACTTAATTGCATATGGATGAGCCGTGCTGTGAGCAGTTAAGGAATACAAATGTACTTTATTCGAAGATATTTTGTCAAAACAACACTTTATATTACCTTTTATCACTTTCAATATGCTGCAGTTAGCACTGGGAAGCCCTATTAAGTTGTAATGTGAATTTTTATGGAACACTTGCCATTAATGATTAACTTGATTAATGAAAACATTCTTGGCAAATGCTTTCGCTTTCGTAAAAACTTCTTCATAATCTAGTCTTTTGTTAAGGATTAATTGAATAAAGCATTTTATTTAGACTGATACAAATACTATATTATTATAGTGCCTTTGTTGTAGTTGTCTTATGGAGAGTGCGGCTCAGCTCGTCTTCTGGGACGTTGATTCGCTCACCCTTCCTTGGAAGTCCCGGTTTTGTAGAGTTTAATGAGATCTTGTGAGAATATTAGTCACATTTCTATAATAGAGGACAGATATATTGAATCATTTTTTCGTCAAGCATCATTCCACAGCGATGATGAAAGGATGCGGAAAACACTAAAGGCCATTTGACCCCTGAACCCTGACTCTGAGTTTCTTTTTGTCTCTCTGTCTCACTTCCTGTCGAGTAAAGTCAGCGTAAAGAGAGAGAGAGAGAGAGAGAGAGAGAGAGAGAGAGAGAGAGAGAATGTGCTGTCTGAGCACTTCCCTGTGATTTTGGGTAGTGGACTGGTGATGTGACCCAATAACGGACTGAACTGGAAGCAAAGCACCCTAATCACTGAGGTAATATGTATTATAAGATGCTTTTAGATTTTCTAAAGATAAGGATCCCCCCCCCCCCCAAAAAAAATGTAAATAAAAAATGTCATGATTCATACAGAAACTTCAAAACCACTGAGGCAAAAGGTGAAACTTTAAATAGTTTGTGGTACTTTAAATTGAATTGACTATAATACATCACAGCTCATGTATTTTTGTTTCCTGTAAAGTCAAATTCACAAAAACACCAGCCGGCAAAAGATACAAATAGCATCACTTATTTTGTTTTGGTTCAACAATAAATGTATGAGTAATGGCAACCAGTAGAGACTGTGCTGTATTCACATTCACGAGTGTCCTCGACTAAATCAATTTATCAGGTTCTACCGAATAACGGCCATCTGAGAAACCGGTAGTTTTTCCTGCTAATTTGTCCTTGTTCAGTTATAACAGTGATATTTAAATAGACAACTGTCTGTCGTTTCCTATTTAATTAAAAAAAGTGCAATTTTTCATCAAAGTTTCTCGACTTACCCCTCGAGATAATCTGATTGGTCGAAACTATGCGACGGACTTCAGTCCATGTCGACTCCAGCGTCTATACAGTTTACTTGTTGATCCAGTGGAGAAGAATCCTGATTCATGAGTAAAACGGTGAATTTCTCTCTTTCCCCCGAAGGATTTCATTTCAGCTCTCGGGGAAAAGTTGGAGACGGGGTTGGATTTTTAAGAGGGTGTGGTTTTAGCACGACACGGCCAATCGCGTATTCGGTAGGCGCGTCTCCGCGCTGCAGGACCACGACTCCCCGTGTTTGATTGGCGTGTATTGCCCGCCAATGAGAAGCCGGAGCGCTACTTTACGGACAGACCAGCTTCTACGGGCGGTGTGTGACGTCGGAAGTGACGTCCCACACGTGCAGTATGGACCGTAGGTGTGTCAAGCCTGCGGGAACAATACAGGGAAATGAATGAGTGTGGCTTCAAAGTTCAGAGCTTTACAACATTCATGTTTGTAGAAGTGGTTTAACCACATGGTTCGCGAAAAATAATGTATTTTAAACAACATGAAATTAAATAAAGCATATAAATATAAAAAAAGTAGATATAAATTGCATTTTATGTTGTTATTGGGCATGATGTTTAAAGTTTGTTTTATTCTGAAAACAAGATACCGGAAATGTGAGTTTTTTGATCCTCGAGCTTGACACGAATTACAGCTAACGATACCAGCCGAAACAGAAGAGCTGCAAGTGTGAACCTCATGCTGAATTGAGGTGAATGCTGGCTACTTTTATTAAACTTTAAACTTGTATGTAGCTGTTCCAGCTCTTTGTGAGCGCTGCGTCGGTTTACTGTGTCAGACAGTGTTTGCCATTTGTGTTTTGCCTTTTAATAATGGATGCAGAGACGGCTAACTTAGCAATAGTTGGCTAACAGTTGTCCTAACAGCGGTAACGTTACTTTTAGCCAAAGTAAAGAAAAATACAACGCATGCAGTAACCGCTATTTTACAGGAGTGAGTTTCTGTGTCTGTGTGTGAGAGTCAGACAGACAGACAGACAGGGTTAAGGTGCGACATGTTTAAAGAAAACTAATTTGTAAATACAACATGATTCATATAGAGACTGTTATTGAGGTGAAGATTCAGTATTCTGCTCATTTTTTGAGCGTTACTGTAGTTCATCATGTGGTCTGTATTCTCTATAAAGTAGAAGGTATTTGTAAATTTGAATTATTGTTTTAGACAAACGCTGAAATGGGAATGAATGAACTGTTGCTGCGCCTCACACACAGGGACAGATAGTCATGGTGGTGAAGAAGAAGAAGACGACAGCCAAAGTGGAGGCTGTGGTTCTGGATGAGGAGAAACTACACAAGCTGATAGGTACTGTGACCAAGCTGCTGCTGTTAGCCACTGTTAATAACAAGAAAGTATTTCATCCAGCCTGTAATCCTTTAACCAATGGGGGACCTTGGGACAAAATCAAATATACATACGTATATGTATATATGTGTGTTTAATGTCTAGCACTGTGTGATCTTTCCCAGCATCCCTCTCTGTGGATGGAGGAGAGGATGGAGTCAGGCAGGTGGCCCAGACCCTGCAGACCTGCTTGGAGCTGTCGGAGCCCGTGCAGCAGATCCAGCTGGTTAAAAAGGTTGGTTGAGAGCAATGCAAGATGTCATTTAAAAAAAACCAAACACCTCTTCTCAACATGCAGGGATTATGTTGGTTTTATAGACGACATAAATGTACGATGGTTTGTCCTCCTTATAGTGCGTAACGGCATTAGACAATTGTAGAATGGAATGCTGGTACATTTTTCTGTATGAGGCCATATTACACGAACTTCTCGACTGACACCTAAAACTATCAGTAGCTGCGGGAACAAGATGTCCTTCCTGTCAACCTGCAGCCCGTTTGGTGAAAGAGCTTTTAACGTTTTTGCGCTCTCAACTTGGCGTGAGCTACAGAGACAATTTAAACACTACATTATATTAAAAGTAATTGAGGACTTTATGAACAGTGAGTGTACGTGTCATGTGTGTATGTGTGTATGTATGTATGTATGTATATGTATGTATGTATGTGTATATATGTGTATGTGTATACATGTGTATATATATATATGTGTGTATATATATATATATGTATATGTGTGTATATATATATATATGTATATATATATATATATATATATGTATATATATATATATATATATATATGTATATATATATATATATGTATATGTATATGTATAT